TTTCGCCCATGATACCCCCCATGCACTTTCCTGAGGATTCAGTTGTTATTCCTCTGTACCCAGTAAATTCACGCCATATCCCACCCTTCAAACCGAAACACAGCCATGCAAACAACTGCTTTACGGTTGAAACACGAATGAGACAGAGGTATCCAAGCAAACGACTTTTGTACAAAGTCTGTTGTGTCTCCTTACAAATTCTCGAATGAATGGTTTATATTTAGAACTAAAAGATTTTCAATATCATAACTACAGGTCATCGGCATCACTTTTGTTCGTACGTTTGTGTGTTTTGGTGAAAATTCCAAGCAACATATAAAGAACAACCGAGGAACGTTCTTAAAATAGTTACATTATTTACAAACAATTGTACCTTGGAAATTATTCGGTCAACTTCGGTGCGTGCGCACTCACTTAGCCTCGTACGTCGTTCGCTGATCTGCCATAATTAAATCCAATAAATTCACTTAGGCCGGATTCCAGCAACCCGATGCGCGATGGAAGAAAGTACCATATAATTACATCAATGTGAACAGTATTGATTTGTAAGTAGGCTTGCTAGAGAAATTGATTTTGTGTTTTCTATCCGTATTTTTTTTTTGCAACTTAGAATGCCAAAAAGCTGAAGGCCCAGCTGATGGAAAGTGGTAACCGTCGCCTATAGACATGAGTAGTGTCATAGACATAACACAGTATACTGTTTCTGTCCATGGCATGTTAACACACACACACATAATACCTCTGACCATGATATAACAGAATATGTTTCGCCCATGATACCCCTCACGCATTGCCATTCCCGAGGACTCAGGTGTTATGCGATATGCATGTCGTTAAATTCACGCCATATCCCACCCTTCAAACCGAAACACCTCCCAAAGTCTCAAAGTCTCCCTTTGTCTTTATTTGTTTTCTTTTTGCAGGTGAACAGTACTTAAAATATTAAAATTAACTAGAGAATATTCATCTGTTGTCTGTTTAATTGAAATTTAATGAAAATGTAAACAATATTGAAGCGTTTTTTAAATCAGTATGCAAACTTAAGTCTGGCCACATCTACTTGTATAATTGCGTGTATATTATTTTTCATATTGAATTTTGTTTCTATACAAATTATCGTCTTGCATCTGTATGTACAAAATATATTTACCAATGTAAAAAATATTTGTTTCCACTGCGACCTTCTACAATCAAATGAATATCTGAGTCCTCAGGAATGGCAACGCATGGGGGGTATCGTGGGCGAAACAGTATACTCTGTTATGTCCATGCTACAGCTCATGTCTATAGGCGACGGTTACTACTTTCCATCAGGTGGGCCGTCAGCTTGTTTGCCATTCTAAGTTGTATAAAAAAAAAATGAATATATTAATCACCCATAGACTTAGTATAACGTACCGCCATAATCTAAGTCATCAACACAAAGTCTACAATGTTAAAATAATAGTATTAATAAAAAAAAAAACATCAATCGATTGAATGTTTACATTTTTAAGCAAATTCATTTAAAAAGTGTTTCTTTAACGATTTCGACTAAACTCGGCTCCTATTGGGACAGACTGTAACACAATTTACGTCGCAGGTGTTCACTGGAAATAATTCCCGCCGCGAGGACTGCTCGCTCTCTGTCTATAACCGTAGTAAACAAGCGTGGAATATCTACCCGACTAACCCCATTTGAAAAGGTCTGTGTGCCAAAACGTCTCTAGAAACAATGGCGCTAATAATAAACTTGTGCAGTGAAATAAACATTTTTTTGGGTTATCAAACTCGGCTGTCGTTTCTTCGGAGTTGTTTTCGTGTTTTTACTTTATGAACATCACAATAATAACACACACACATACACACACACACACATCACACACACACAGAGAGAGAGAGAGAGAGAGAGAGGGACGAAGAACACGGTTTTTTTTTAATGGGTGATAATGGAATGGTAACCCCACCCGCGCTATTGGTATACACCGGCGGGGCACCAGTGAGGGATGATAGATGAGGATGAAGCAGGTCAGTTAGCCCATCGTGACGAATTTAACAAGAATTGTTCACGATGGTTTCCAGGGGAAACCACGTGGAGGTCGACCTGATCGGGCATATTGCTAGCAATGTCAAACTCCATTGCTAACAATCTCTTTCCCCCCCGAAGAACACGGTTTATTTACACCACACATTTTACATCTGTATTAGTCGTGATATTATTGTATATGTAGGCAACTAGTATGAGTAGGGGGGAAAGGGATTGTTAATAATGAGGTCTAATAGCCTCGTTGCTAGCAATGTACCCTCTTACAGGAATTTACAAGGTACAGAGGAATAACACCTGAGTCCTCAGGAATGGCAACGCATGGGGAGTATCATGGACGAAATAGTATACTCTGTTATGTCCATGGTACTGCTCATGTCTATAGGCGACGGTTAGCACTTTTCATCAGGACATCACATTCCGTCAGCTTGTTTTTTTTTTTTATACAACTAAGAATGGCAAACAACAAGCAGACATGAGCAGGACTATGGACATAACAGAGTGTACTGTTTCGCTCATGATACTCTCCATGCGTTGCCATTGCTGAGGACTCAGGTGTGTTTCGTCTGTACCTTGTAAATTCACGCTATATCCCACCCTTCAAACTGAAACACAGCCATGCAAACACAACTGATTCACGGTTGAAACACGAATGGGACAGAGGTGCCCAAGTAAACGACTTTTGTACAAAGTCTCCCTCTGGTAAATGTACTTCTCACATACAGTATATAATACACAGAGTACTATTCGTGCCTACATTATTACCTAACATGCATGCAAAGTTCTCTCTCAAATTGCTTTTATGCGGTTTACTTCGTTTTGTTTGGAAACATTCGGCCGTTGTTATAGTGAGTGTTGACGCGTCGGTTTTAATCTGGGCTTACGTCAATCGACTTCTAATGAGATTGCGTTGTAAGTTCCACCATATCGACAGATCGACAGACATGTAAACAGTTTTTACTATAGTTAGTCTAATGCACGAAGTATATAGTGCAAAAGTGGGCGTTCAGTTTCGAGCGGTCGAAATTATTTAAAGCTAGCTTTTACATCATTATAATATCAGTCCATAATTGTCCACTGCTAAGGGGAAGGGATTGTTAGTAACGCGTACTTCCAGTCTCATTGTTAACATTCAGGTCCCTATCAAGTCGACGTCCTCCCAGTTTCGCCTGGAAACCGTCGGGTTGAATTCCAGGTTTATTCATCACGATGGCCTGCCTTTATATCCTCACCTATTATTCGTATATACCTGCTAGCGTATACCGTTATCACAAGCAGGGTTACCATCCCATTATCATCCATTAAAAAATAAAACTTTCCACTGCTGAACTGGGAACCTATGTTTCCCCTTTGGAGTAGTTGCCACGCTTGGCAGACGGATTGGCAACCGCAGTTCAGCCTTGGAGATGTTTTAAGAGCAACGCTGCTGCCAATCCCTTGACCATTAAGTTCCCTTAGTCGCCTTTTACTACATCCATGAGAAAGGAAGGCGTGGCCCATTCTATACCGGGACCACACAGCAAGCGTTTATATACTAGAGAAAAATAGAATATATATTTAAATGAAAATAAATTCTGTATTAAAATCCATTACGTGTATTAGAAGATGTAAACGGAGACACATACAAGGGATAAAGAGGTTTCTTCAGGGTCTACGGTAACCGGTTACCATCGGGTGAGCCGTTTGCTTGTTCGCCACTTTAGTGGTATAAATAAATACAGACGTTGACAGCGATTTTATTTTAAAGTACTTAGAGATCAAATTCTCTATATAGCAGCCGGTTAATATAGGAGACGAAACTTCAATATATTTTTTTTATTATCGAAAAGAAAGAAAAACAATTACTTCAATTGTAACAAAATTTATATAGAACCATAACACGATAATAGTCATTCATAACCTTTCTGCCCTTATACAAATTATTTGGGATCGGCGTAATACGATTTTATTAATGTTACACAAGATTTTGGCTTTTGGTTTTATGACCAGCCGTCCGCCTGACGTCAACTGTTCTTGCAAATGCATTTGTTGGTGGTATCCGCCATTTACGGCATGAAAGAAAGGATTAAGTAGAAACGATGGGGACATTGACATTAATGATAATGTTTGCATATCAGATGCAGAAATAATTGTTTCAAATCGTAACATTTGTTACTAACAAATATTAATGGACCATAAATTCCAAAAAAAAAAAATATTATTATTGTACCCGCGCAATGTAGCCACAAAGCACCCGGACGAATTCGGAAATTCCGCCATTTTTAAATCACTTAAAAATAGGATTATTTTTGCAATAGAATAGAATTCATAATTACTCAATAAGACCAGTTTATAAGCTTTTTTTTATAAATCGTCAATTGTTTATGATTCTACTGCAGGATTCTATCTATCTGTTGAGATGAGTTTTTAAGCTACTCAGCTTCATTGGTTTATCAACCGATTTTAAAAATAAGAATGTTCTCAATTCGACTACATTTCTTTTATGTTTTAACTCCTCATAAATTCTTTTTTTTTTTATCTGAAAAGATAACAACAATAATGGTATAGGAAACTATAACTACAACAACGGTAGAAGATTTATTTATTTATTCATAGGAAAATCAGGGCTACACTAGAGCAAATAGATACAGTTTAGGATCACAGACCAAGCCACTAATAGGTTTTAACATAATAATTTCAAATAAATAAAATAAATAGATAATAATAAAAGATGTTCAGTATTGTAGAAAATTCACGTTAGATTCTAAATTAAGCTAATTTACATTATTCTTACATTTAAATATTCAATAACTGCATAATAGCATTTTACTAAGCCACGAAAGTGACTTAGATTGTTATTTGCTAAGAATAACTCAAGGAAGTCAGCTTAATTAGTTTATTTTTATTAGAAACATAAAACATAAGGTGTTAGAACATTAGTGAATAAATAAGTGTTTCGATTTATCTGAATACTGAATATTGTTCTCGATTGTTACAGAAGTATGTTGTCAGCACGGATCGGAGTGGAGACATACATGTTCATGTACAGGTAAGCAATTTGTATTATTTATGAATGAATGAATGAGTATACTTTATTTGCATAGGAAATACGCAAGACAATTTACAACGATTCAATTGTATAAGTACAGTAAGGGGGTCGTATTGCTGAGAGCAATCTTTTCAAGACAACCTTAGGGTAATGGATTAATTGTTGTACAAGTAGGTATGATAGTACTGTATAATTAAGAATGTATCTTTTGCAAATATATAATATATATAGTTGTATATATATATATATATATATATATATATATATATATATATATATATACAACTTAGAATGGCACAAGCTGACTGCCCACCTAATGGAAAGTGGTAACCGTAGCCTATAGACATGAGCAGTACCATGGACATAACAGAGTACACTGTTTCGCCCATGATATCCCCATGCGTTGCCATTCCTGAAGACTCAGGTGTTATTCCTCTGTACCCTGTAAATTCACACCATATCCCACTCTTCAAACCGAAACACAGCCATGCAAACACAACTGCTGCTATGTGATATAATTGGGATCATATTTGGACCAGATAACCGAAGGATACGGGTTCGAGTCCCGTAAGATCGATTTGTTGGAAAGTAAAGTTTTTCAATCTAGTTCGTTTATGATTTCCGAATGCAATGCAAGTTGTTTATAATGCCCGAAGATAGAAATAAAATTCAAATATTTAATTTAAAATATTTTCAAAAATACTTCGTATGCATCACGCATGTTACATCTTTGGTGTTGTAGCCGTTCATAGGCTACAGTGACTGTTCACCATCAGACGGGCTGTATGCTTATTTGCCACCTTTGTGGTATAAAAAAATAACTTAATGCATAAGATCTAAAATTACATATTTATAAATTATATTATTCAACTTACACGCTATCAGGGAGTTCTTCCACGACCTGTCCAGGTAAGGTTATATTATTCTATGTTTGTAATTAACCTAGTATGTTGTGAACAATCTCGGCATACTGGTATTTAAAACAAAATTTTCTCCTATGTACATAGTGTATTGCAATTAAATTGTATTTAAATTAAATTAAATTTATGTAATTATTTTAGACATGGGTATTATTATTGACAGACGAACTTTTTCAGGCTGAAAAACCTGTAACACTGTGACCTCTGTGATCTATTGTGCTCGCCCTTTTTTAAAGTTCGCTGCTATCTCCTATCAGTGATAGGAATTTTAAGATGTTCTTTGCAGCGATGTTTTTTATCTCTTCAGGATATAAAAGTGCATATTCCAAAGGAAATATATCGTTTATGTATGAGTGAACTACAGCTATAAATCGTGTACTGCGACGATCCTTCCTATTGTGACAAAATCTATAAACACTTTTAGGACATAGCCTAGTGGAAACGTATGCTTATTTAGTTTGCTGCGTTCAGTGAGAAGCCTTGTACAACAATACACACATATTATTTTTACTCAAGAGAGTTAATTTCTTTGAGTTGTTTTGTTAAAACTCATATATAATATCGACAACACTTCGATATCTATTTATTTGAACAGTAAAATATTAAATAAAAATATAATTGAAGAGAAAATGGTATTTCCGATTTTAATACCAGTCGGATATCTACTTTTATTTCAATTTAGTGCTTAATTTCGATATTATGTATTGGATAATTAATATTTAGTATATATTTATACAACTTAGAATGGCAAACAAGCTGACGGTCCACCTGATGGAAAGTGGTAACCGTCGCCTATGACATGAGCAGTACCATATATAGGAATGACGGAAATTTTATGAGAAATTTTATACAATTATTGTGATAATATTAATAAAAAATATCTACTATTCAAAATATATTTAAATATGAAAAGTTGTAATGTAAATTAAATGTAATGTTCATTTCATACCGTATAATTATGTTCAAATAAATGCTGTTAATACATTTATTAGGCATGTGCATTAATATTGTATTGTATTAAATGTTTGTTATATGTGTTTTAATGCAATATGCTGTTGGTGTTCCTTTAAATAAATAAATAAATAAATGTATTATATGGTTTCGGATGAAGACTTACTGCCCTTTTACGAAGATTTAATTACTAAAAGCATAGTGAAGTTTACTGTAAAGTTTTCGAGTGAAACGGATTAGGTGGGGCATCTGTTGACAGTTGGCGTTAGTGTTCGCTGAGTACATTTTGTAGGAAAGGGATTTATTGTCTTAAAGTATTAGGAGAATTCAAAGTTGCCTAACTGGCGTCATGATCGAGTTATGTTAGAAATGTGTGTAGCTGTGTGGTTTCTCTGTATGACATTCGTGGAATAGAAATCCGCGGAAAAATAAAAGTACTCGATGCTGTTTTAGCCGTTAACTGTCTACTGCTGAACATAGGCTTCCTCTTAAGGGGGGTTTTACAGTAGTTGCCATGTTTGGCAGGCGGGTTGGCAACCGCAGTTTGGCTTTTGGTGATGTTTTAAGAGGGATACTGCGGCCTATCCCTCCACATAAGCTCCCTTAGTCGTCTTTTACAATGTCTACAAGGAAGGATGATGTGGCCTATTCTATACCGGGACCTACACGGCTAAAAGTACTTGTACTAGATCAAATTTTGTCAGTATCAATTTAATTCGTATTTACAGAGTTGCTTTTATATTTACAAAGTAGTGATCTGTTCTGGCTTTGTACGTTTTTTGTTTAAAAAAATATAGTCAGTGTTACTTGATGATAATGTAGCTATTTATAGGTAAAAGAATTTTTAAAGTCAGTAAAATATTTTGAGTTTATTCATTATGAACAAAAAGCTAAATCTTCCCTCCTTGTAATATTTTTTAGATGTTCAATTGTTTGATTTGATGTTTTAAGTTTATACTTAAATATACATATATTTATGCATATACGAGTACATATATATATATATATATATATATATATATATATATATATATATATATATATATATATATATATATATATATATATATATGTACTCGTATAGGTTTATATTAGTCTAATTATATGTTTATAATATATGAACATATCAAGTATTGTTTAATTTTTCCTCTATTCAATAATGCACCGCCTACTTCTTCCTCTGTTTGCATTAAAATTTAAATAAATAAATATATATGTATAAGTACTTATTACTATATATATATATATATATATATATATATATATATATATACTTATTTTATTATGTTTATTTATATATGATGATCGATTACTGGAGGTTACCATATCATTTTAAAAACAGTGTTCAGTTAATTCCTAGTCTGTCTCACTTCGGTATTCGAATACTTTGAAACCAGCATTCTGTTTACTTTCCAGGGTGACCTGAGCCAGCAAGATAAGCGATGTGTGTTCCTGACAGTCCATGACCTAGGCACTAACCGTAAGTTATTTTAATTGATAAATATGAATATATAATTTCACCTTTACTAAAAATGTTGAATCAAAATGGTTTCCAGATGAAACCGCATGGACGTCGAATTGATAGGGTGTATTTCTAGTATTGGTGCTGTCAAACCCCTATTACTAACAATCCCTTACCCCTGATAGAGCATACGGCTAGCAATGGGTTTTTTTATCGCTATCGGTATACGCTGACGGGGTATAAGATAGTGTGTGTGTGTGTGTGTGTGCGTGCGTGCGTGCGTGCATGCGTGAGTGCGTGCGTGTCTGTTAGTGATAAATGGTAGGTGAGGATGAAAGCAGGTCAGTTAGCCCATCGTGAAGATTTCTTTAAGAATTTACCACGATGGTTTTCAGGGGGAAGCGCGTGGAGATCGACCTGATAGGTTATATTGCTAGCATAATGGAACTATTAGAATCCAATACTAATAAACCCCTTAATTCCCTTCATCAAAATAGAAATAGTTTAGTTTTTAAGTCATAAATAAAGATTTAATTTTTTTTTCTTTAAAACAATTAAGAAATCCACAATAATTTATATTCTAAATACAATTCTTTTTTATTTTATTACGTCAATGTAACTAAAACCAAGGAATTAGCCAAAATTCTTTGTATATTTGCAGACACGTCGATGGTGGACTTCGTGACGTGCCCGGCCATGAGCGAGATTAAGGAGCGCTCGTGCTTCATCCACGTGGACGTGCCCGGCCACGAGGAGAACTCCCCGGACTTGCCTGACTCGTGAGTAATAACTACCACACAATTACACTAATCTAGTACTCAAGCTAGGACGTTCTATGTTAACTTGTATACTTTCCCTAAGAGATGGGATTCGACGTGATCATTTAGGTAAACTGTGATAATATGTAGCCAAACTATACTGGTATCAATGTCAATAGAAGCATCCAGTAAGTACGTGCGAGCACGTAGACGGCAGTTATTTGATTGATTTATTTATTTAATTCTTTATTGTACACACCAGTTATAAGAATATGACAGAGGTAATCAAATGTACAAAGGCGAGCTCAACTCTAATAGAGTATTCTTTCAGCAACACTCAAAGTGGAAAGGAGCATCAATGTCAGCGAGTAGAGCTGATGTTATTGATGACAATAATGATGTTTCATTAAGAAGAACAGAGTCGGCCAAGCAACCTCTTCAACTCCCCTCTCTCTTGCATTGAAAGTACTCTATGATGTTTTAAGCCGGTATCCACAATTAGACATATTCGCCTCCAACTTGCTGGAGTTTCGTCGGATGACCACAGAGTGCTTGTGTTCAGAGATTTAAGATATAGATGTTATTTCTATTTGATATATGATACGTTATTGTACTGATGCTTTTCTGAGTGAGCTTATTTCATCAACTAGGTGAGCTTTACAGTCTCCAGACTGTAAAGCTCACCTAGTTGATGAAATAAATAAATAAATAATTTATTTTTGTTATTTAGGCATTTAGACCAGATTGCATTGGTCGTGGTCACGAGTAAACTGATGTAATGGTGTCATGTTTCCGCTACTGAGGCAGAAGTATTTTCTTCTATCCACTCACTGTCACACGTTGTACAAATTGTGTCCTTATACTGAAGGTTTCTATACACAATGCTGTCAGTGTTTTTTACGATTTTGGTGTATTCTGTCATCAACATCATCATATCAACCGTAAACTGTCTACTATTAAATATAGGTCTCACCTTAAAAGGGGTTTGCCAATAGTTGTCTTGCTTGGCAGGCAGATTGGCAACTGCAGTTAGGCTTTGGTGATGTTTTAAAAGAGACGCTACTGCCCATCCCTCGACCATTAAATTCTTTTAGTTGCATCTTACGACACATACGGGAAAGGAATAGATGACCCATTATAGGCTGGGACCACACGGTAATTATATGCGTTTAACTAAATGATCACGATAATTCCCATCTCATGTAATCAGAGGATATGTTAAGAAGTTCTAAGCAGTTACACGAAAAGGGTTTGTATATGCCGCTAGTAGGCAATTCAAATTTTGCTGCCCTTATTGATCTCCACAATTCCATACCCTGATTTACAATCATATCATAAATTGTAATTTAATGATTATAAAAAAAAAATTAGTTGGTGCCAAATTGGTCACTATTTCAGTTATGATAAACAAAACAGCAATATTTACACGAGCTTTATTTCCCCAGCTACCAGTTTCCATCCTTGCAAACATTAGGGGAAGATCTTATCACTGTTCTGGACTTCCTTCATGTGAGATACGCTGTGGGCCTCGGCGAAGGTGCTGGCGCCAACGTGCTCGCCCGCTGTGGACTGGCTCATCCGCGTAGACTTCTCGGCCTCATTCTGGTCAACTGCACCGCGTCCACATCCTCGGTGGCAGACGCCTTCCGCACCAGATTCTCCCGTTGGAAGGGCGCGGATATTTCGCAATCCGAAGAAGATTTCTTGATCTACCACAAGTTCGGTCATGTGAGTTTTCTACCAGAGCATCTTGATTACGGCTACCAGGTATTTCTGTTTCTCTTTCCCTACTAACCTCACTAATGCTGCTCTATTGAGCTTCTCTCTGAAGGTAAGCTTGGTCCAAGCAATCAGTAGATTTTTACAGTTAAATATAAAATAAATTCGTAATGAGCATGCTATGAGTGTTGAAACCTGATAGTAGATGTAATTAACTGCAGTGCAAATTGGCACAAAAGGCATAGCTAAACAGGCCAATTTGTAGTCACGTGAGCTAGATCTATAAATTTTTTTAAAGTTTGTAATAAACCCTCAGGCTACCTTTCAGAATAGCTGTAGAAAAATGAAGATTGTATTAATGATTACTATATAGTATATATACCTATAGTAAAAGGTGAAAATTAATACATATTTCCACGAATTCCGATTTGAATACCATTCACTGTATTGTTTGGACCAGAACTATTTCACCATCTTCAATAGTTCTTTCAAATTCAAATCATCTTATTTCAAATAGTCTTGTTTACAAGCATTTTCACTCACTCACAAATTAGGGAACGGTGCAAAGTTCGCTTTGAAATTATGAATAATCATTATGCAATATTACATGTAGGCACATCACTTCCTTTCAATTAAAAAACAAATTATAATAATTTATCATTAAAATGAAATAAAAATATATGTATATACTAAAGGATTACACAATTTACTAAAAAAATACTAGAGATTGATGTGTAATGAATTGTCAATTTAAGTTAGTTCATGGCATGAATCTAACCGTTCGCCTTATTAGTCTTCCAGATCGGGTTCTGTGCTGTGTGTTTATATTATCGTTACCATCTTTGTTTGTGAGATTCAGTTCGCAGTTTGTTATTAGTTTCATAACCTTATTTGGTTGGGTGGTTTTAACTTCTGTCCCGTTGTCAACCAAGAACGCTGGTTTTAAGCGATCGATTGAAATCGTTTTGTTTGCGTCAGAAATCATAATTTGGAAAAAATTGTCTCTGCCTTCTATGACCTTGTAGGGTCCTGCATACGGAGGGGTAAGCGGTTTTGTGCGTGGTTGCAGCGAACGAATATGTGAGTGCATGTTTTCAGCGAGGGATGTACAAATATGTTTCCTTGTCTGTGCGGACTTCTTGGTACTGCTGAAAGGTCTTGTAAATGTTTTCTTAACTCATGTAGAAACGAATCACTCTCTGAACTATTCAGCGTTGTCGACTCTAAAAAGTTTCCGGGTAATTTTCAGGTAGTGCCGTACACCAGCTCGGCAGCAGAAATTTCTGTATCATCACGTAAACTTGCTCTTAATCCCATCAAAACCGTAGGTAGCTCATTAACCCATTTGTCAGTGTTTCCCCGTGCCATCAGTGCTGATTTTAAGGTTCTGTGTCATCTTTCGACCTTACTATTGGCTTGCGGGTTGATTTGAATTTGTTGCCGGAAAATTGATTCGAATTGTTGGCCTTGATCGGTAGTCTGTCTGAACGGGCAACCGAATCTAGATATCCAACAAGAATACACTTTATCTGCCACGCTCTCTGCAGTTATATCTTTTAAGGGTACAGCTTCCGGCCAACTTGTGGCTCTGTCAATCATTGTCAAAATATACCTGTAACCTTGACAATATGTTAGTGGTCCGACAATATCGATATGTAGATGCTGAAAACGATCACTGTTCGGGAATGAGCCAAGGGGCGAAATCACATGCCGCTGCACTTGAGATTTTTGACAATTTAAGCATGTCTTAGTCCAATCATTTATGTCCTTGTTCATAGATGTCCAAAAATATCTGTTTATTATCATCTTTCTAGTACATCGAACTCCGACATAACTAATTCCATGAATCGCATTGAACGCTGTAACACGAAACTCCTTAGGCAATTATGGACGTGCTGATAGTTTAGATATCTCGCAGTAAATTGGCTGATTGCAATTTGCGTAAATAAATGTTTTAAAATTTATTTTTTTAGATTGCAGTAAGGTATGTAATTCTTCGCCGTTTTCTTGTGCTTTGGACAGTTCATAGTAATTTATTGGCGATGGAATATCTATTTGTTCGATCCTCGATAAGGAATCCGCGACTATATTTTGAGATGCTTGTATGTGTTCTATGGACGTAGTAAATTGGCTTATAAAATCAAGGTGTCGTAACTGTCTTGGTGTGTCACTACTACTCGCAGCTTTTTTATGTAGTGCGTACACGAGTGGTTTGTGGTCTGTATACACCGTGACTTCTTGTCCTTCAATCATATGTTTTATAGTCATGTAAACAGCAAGTAATTCCCGGTCGTATACACTGTAGAGTTGTTGAGTTTCGCTGAGCTTGCATGAGAAGAAACTTAAAGGTTACCATTCTTTACCCACTCTTTTGCTGTAAGACACCACCAATACAGATATTTGATGTGTCGCACATAATGACCAGGGCAATCCAACCTTGAGGTGGCGTAGCAGGGTTGCTTCACGTAAACTTGACTTGCACTTTTCGAAAGCTTTATTGGCTTCGTCGGTTCATACAATTTTAGAATTATCTTTGCGATTTATCTTAATTTTTAGCCACGACGTGCAGAGGGCTTGCCCAACAACTCTTGGAAGGCTGACATATACCAATCTGTTGCATGTAATCGAATTCCTTCTTTACCTGTTCGTACTTTTTAGGAAGAAGCGGGCGAGCGCGAGCGAAAACGGGTGGGCTAGTAGTCTCTATATGATTCATCACGCTATGTTTGAGAGTGTCCTTGTAGCACACAGGTTTCGTTATATCAGGGTAAGTCGATAACAGATCGTAATATGGATTTGTGACGTCGATAGTCTTAATTGTAGCATCCTCTTTCATTACTATAGAGCCAACAACGTTCAGATTGGTCACTGCGTCGATTAGTTTTCGTCCATTCACGTCTACAAGCAGCTTATGATGACTAAGGAAATCGGTACCGAGTATTGGCTGTTTACATCAGCTATGATAAATGTCCATGAAGATGGTCTTCATAATTTCAAATTTAAGACTAAGTTCTTAGTTCCGTAAGTCTTGATTTCACTGCCGTTAGCGGCATAGAGTTTGTAACTATCGCATTCATTATTTGCGTACGATTTCTTGATTGCGGGTAACATGGATACATTGGTCCCTATGTCCACCAAAAAACGTAGGCCACTGTGAAAGTCGGTCACGCATAGGCGGTGGGTGGGCGAGATGGTGCAAACGTCCGCCTCTGACTGCACCGATTTTAGTCTTCCTTATTCGCAGTATTGTTTTTTCAGGGGCACGGGTCTGCGTATTTTTGAGCTCTATGGCAAAAACGGCTGTGATAGTAGCATAACCCGTTGGAGTTATTTGACACTCGGTGTCTATGTGAACCGCGTGGATCGTAGTAATTTCGACTTCTTGATCTCGACCTTTGTAATTCGACGACTTATAAACTTAATTCAGCTATCTGTGCTTGTAATTTGGCAAGTGATGATGACGTGCAAGGAAGCAATGATGTGGAAGGTACTGGAGTGGTCACGATGATTCGAGTAAAGCAATCACGTTGAAAATTGGATTCCCTACACTATACGCTTCTTGAAATCTCAAATCGGTTGAATCCGCTTGTGGACAGCCGATAGAGATATGCGCTCACGAAAATCACGTTGGGTCACCAGTTTGGCTAAAGTTGTTATGAGGATTCGATGCGGTTTGTGGAGATGGTAAATAACGAGAATAATTCTAGATATAAAATGTAAACTTGTATATTGGATAGACTGCCTAGCACAGAGGTTGTATCGCGAGTGAGTATAAGATGAAACATTCAAGTTACGTTGATTACTTACAAATTAGGTCACTTACAAATTAGGGAACGGTGCAAAGTTCGCTTTGAAATTATGAATAATCATTGTGCAATATTACATGCAGGCACATAAATATTAAAATTAAGACTTGGTGACTTTGACTTAATAGGGTAATTTTTTATATCGACAGTGTGCTATTTCAAATTTAGTTTTTTTTTTTTTATTTTTTGTCTTATAGGACTGTGATGGACATGTCGTTGTTTTAAATTGATTGACGTTCATTTAACTATGTATTACCTATTAGCGTAACGGTTGACTGGTAGAGAATGCCATTTGGTATTAAGTCCACCCTGAAGACATGTTTTAATGTGTGCAAAAGTAAAAATAAATAAATAACATAGCGATACAGTATATGTACCTTTCTATATAACATTGTTGAAGTTGATGAATCGTACGATTTTATATTTATTGCCTGTTGATGCAATTTTCTTGTTCGTGACTAATTACTAACTTACTAATTTCTTGCGCTTTATAGATTTAAATTAGAATAATTAAATATAGCTATCTCTTACTTTTAAATTGAAAATACATAAATTTAAAAATTTATAAAATTTCTTCATTTTATGTCTTTTTTTTACTTTTTTTTCATTTGTAGTATATTGAATGTTACATTTGTTTTATTTATGAATTTTCAATATCTTTGTTTTAATTCAATTTTTTTGTGTATTACTATAGATTTATACTATTTTCCTTGCTTGCTGTTATACTTATCTTTATATCTTGTGTCTTTTTATTTTCATTATTTTGTATTGTATTCCATGTTTAAATTTATTTTTTGATATAAAATGGAATGGCAACCCTTCATTTATTTTTATTTAAATAGATTTGTTCACAAACACTTTGAAATCATCATTTTTTATGAATCCACTGCAGAGATCAGAATGTTGTTATCTGTTGAGAAGAACTTACATGAATCTCAATAGTTATTCTATTAAATCTCTGTTAACATTATGTGTATTTATTTGAATCTACTATGACTAAATTTACATTGTTATTAAAAAGCCCGTGCATGATCAACTAACACCATGCACGTTTTAACCGCGTGTAACTCGACCCAATAGAGTAGGTAGATTTTTAGCAATGGGAATAGTATCAACAGTGAAGTGTTGTTCCGCAGCAAATCTCGAGTGATGCATTCGAGGCCGGCGAGCGGGACCGCATGCTCACCGAGTACAGATCTCGTCTCCGGGGAAACCTGAACACCCACAATATCAAGCAGTACGTGAAGGCGTTCATCAAGTGAGTATAGTTGCAATAATATCATTATATGTATATTAATTCTTTATTGCACTTGTAAATTACATTCTTAATGCATTTATAAATATTGTGAACAAGGATGGACTCATCTCTGACAGAGACCTCCTCCAGTCAACTCAATACAGTTGGAAAACATGTCGTTAGCAGGCAACTAAAGTGTGCTAGATTACAGAGTGAAGTCGCTGTGTGAGTAGCAGTTAAATTACGATAATGCTTGAGAATTACTATGGGAATAACAGTGTAATTTGTGTAGTGAATAAGGCAATGGTTATTAGTTTTTATAAGATGGTAACTGGTAATCGTTCTCAGGTTATTTGCCTTTCGCAGTTGCACAAAAAATAAGTAAGGTTTACCTGAATTTTATTTGCAATCTATAACGTTTTCATAATCAACTTTTTTGAATTCTTATCCAGCCGTAAAGACCTCCAGCTGAAGGGTTGTCAACCGGACATCCTTCTCATCACGGGAATGCTCAGCCCTTACTCCGGGGTCGTAGAGAAGATGTACAAAGAGCTGGACAGAGATAAAGTCACCATATTGAAAGTAGACCGTGCCGGCGACGTACTAGCTGAAGCTGTAAGTATTATTAATTAATTAATTAATAATATTAATTATTTATATATAATATTTGAATCTTGTTTAGCAATTAACGTAACAATACAAAACTATACAAAAACACGAAATATTAAAGGAGCAATAGGTAGCAATATTTTAAAGTATAATTTAGTGAAAATGTAACCATCAACAAAGCCTAATCGCGGTGTCAACTTGCTTGCCAAGCGTGGCAACTACTGACAAAATCCCCCAAAAGGGGGATACTTTGTTCATCAGTAGATGGTTATCGGTAGATATGATGATGATTTTGTGTGCACGACACACCTTTTTAGTTTCTTTTTGATTTTATTAAAAAGATGGTTTGTTTGTAATTTGAAGTCTGTGTCAGTTAAGTTTGGTTTGGTTCGCTTTTTTGCTCCTTTAGTTTGCTTTGTATATTTTTTATATAATTATATTATCTTTCTAAAAACACGGGGTTTTCAAACCAGCATACAGTATTTTCGCCCACAGTGAGTAAGTATATAGTTATTATTGGTGTTAGTTACGTTAGTATTATTCAAAAGAACTGCACTCCAACAGTCCTAATATAGGTAATATTACGACATTCATTTAACGAGATATGAGTTACATATGAGAATATGTCAGGTATTTATCTTATTATAATATTACTAGCAGTAGTGTTCGGCTTTGGATTATAGCAGAAACTTACAAATGCAATAAGCAAGTCTAAAAGAAGACTTGATGGCGGAACTGTTCAGATTACCGACGGTACCAAAGAGATGGGATTAGAGATCGCGATGGATTTCGATCAAAGAGAAGCCAAAGTTATAATAGCGTCCTTATGAAGAAGAGATCACACAGGCGGTGAAGTGAATAATAAAACGCTTTGAAAATAAAAATGTTATCTTCAAAATTCTAGACTTGGAGTCGTTCGAAGACCGAAGATCGTTTAGATTTGTAAATGAATAATGCTGCCATCGAAGGCTAAAAAGACTTCTTGACTAAGGATTACTTGAACTATATGATGCAAGTGAATTATTTCGGATCTTCCTTTCTTTTTGGAGTAACAACCAGAAAAAAATATATAACCGAATTGAGAAGCTCCATCTATTTGAAATCGGTTGAAAATAACTGCGCCTGCTAAAGTCTTCTCTCTTTTCATTTAAGAGTTTCCTCTTGTCGGTGCGACTAATTCATGTATTTTCTTGGAGCCAGTTCTATCCCAGGCCATGTCCTTGACCTCCCTATACGACATGACACCTAGTGTTTCTTTTATCTGTCCCATGTAGTTATAAAGATTGTAGACTTTACATTTAATTGGCGTCCTTATTACCGCTTGTGGTTACTGACTGCCTAGTACTATTGTGATTGCAATTTCAACCATTTTACGAGTACTAGTTACTTCTATTATTAATGCTACCTACACACCATGATATTGCAGGCAGCAATCATATCTTGTTTTAAAATTATTGATGTCAGCCATATTTTTTATTACTTTATTTATTTATTCTTTATCGACTACATTACAAAAAAAAATTATTAGTACAAAAGACGGGCTTAATGCTATAGAACTTCTTTTATTAGAAATTCTTTACTTGTCAACTTTTGGCAAAACAAAAATGTAATTATGTGGCGAAAATATCTAAAATTAGCTACCTATTAGCTTTTTGCCTGCTACTTTATACGCGTGGAATTCAGAAGTAGGAAAACCAAAAAAATAGACTACTCCTAAATGACGTATCAAAATAAAACATGTATTTTAAGTTAGACCTTCAGAAACATAATTGCGAAAACCGTACTCAATTTGGAGCACAAGTTTTTGCAGGAACAATCACACAAATTCTAAAAAAAATATTTTGGCTTCTATTGCTTTTGTTAATACCCATCTATTAATTTTTCTTAAATATTTCTCATGTACAGACATCATCATCATTTTCCTTCCTTTATCTTAATTATTATTTGGGATTAGCGTAATATCTTTTTCTCTTTCATTCTTCTCCATTCGCAGTCATTTTAAACCTATACATACTTATTAATATCGCAAATAATGAATTCATAAAAGGTGATACGAGTATATTCTTATCTGTCTAAATATTAAAATATTCAAAAAAGATTAAAACATAATTTAAAAATTTGCTGCGTAAAAAGAAAAGAGCGACTTTACTTGCAACATAACTAATATGGGACCAGCAATAAACCCTTTCGACTGCTGATTCGTTTATTTACATTTTACCAGAGGGAGAGTTTGTACAAAAGTCGTTTGCTTAGTAACCTCTGTCCTATTTGTGTTTCTAGCGTTAGTTGTGTTTGCATGGCTGTGTTTCATTTTGAAGGGAAGGAAATATGGCAGTGAATTTACAGGGTACAGAGGAATAACACCTGAGTCCTCAGGAATGGCAACGCATGGGGAGTATCACGGGCGAAACAGTATACTCTGTTATGTCCGTGGTACTGCTCATGTTTATAAACGACGGTTATTTTCCATCAGTTGGGCCGTCAGCTTGTTTGCCATTCTAAGTTGCATAAAAAAATTAATTAACTTCTATTTAAAAATCTAATACTTATTTTCTATACTCCTATCTAAGGCTTATTTTCTAGTAGCATCGGTGTGTAGTAAATTTTACAACCGGCGTATAGCTGTGTGCAATCCCTTCCGTTTGTGCAAGTAAAAGTGACGGTTGTCGGTGGTCACCTAGTCGTTCATTGACCCGCTGAGATGTAACGCGTATTTCGCATAATATTCGCAAACAAGTTTAAATAACATCGATTGTGAGTTTTAAAGTTGTATTTGATACTTTAATTACAATTTGTTGAATTTCAAATGATTTATATAACAACCGCATTTGTTAATTTTTTTTGTCATTTATTTTCTCTGAACTGGATTCGTATATATTTATACCATCAGTTAAAATTACATTTGTGATTAAACAAGCCAAATAGTAGTCTTTATATTTTAGTTAATGTATTTTTTATTTTTCTCAACATTTATATGGATTTTTTATTACAGCTATAAAACCAGCCAGTAAATAAAACACTATAGAACGCTATCATAGTTGCAAAAGGCAGGTAACGTGCAACGTGCCCATGAATATTCCGTGAGATATTTCCTCATCTAGTAATTATGTCTGTAATTCTACTCATTATAGAAATAATAATTGTCGGAGGAATGATAGTGGGATTATATCAGAAAAATACAAATTTAATGTGCAAATCTAAAAGAAGGCTCGATGGGAAAACAACAATAGTTATCGGTGGCACAGCTGGTATGGGACTGGAGATTGCAGCAGATTTTGCTCACAGAGGTGCTAAAGTTATAATAGCGTGCCCTATTGAAGATGAAGGACTTCATGCAAAAAAGTTAATAATCAGAAGTTCCGGGAACGAGAATATCATATTTAAATACTTGGATCTTGCTTCCTTGAAGAGTGTGAGGTTATTTGCTGCAGATATCTTAGCAACTGAGGAGCGACTCGATTTACTGATCAACAATGCTGGCGTTGGAACACCTGGTGATTTCTTAACAAAAGACGGCATGAATTTTATAATGCAAGTGAACTACTTCGGAATATTCCTGGTGACGATGTTACTTCTACCGCTTCTGAAAAAGACTGGAACCCCGTCTGAACCGAGTAGGATAGTGAACACGACATCGATCATGCATAAAATTGGGAGACTCGATTTTGAGAACTGGAACCGCGTTGGTTACTGGTATAAGATTCAGATCTACGGTAATAGCAAGTTGTGTCTATTGGTGTTCACCCGTGAATTGGCCAAGAGACTAAAGGATGCAAATGTCGTCGTGAACATTGTAGATCCTGGTGCAGTTGGTACGAAGATATTTCAAAGTGCCGGCGTTTCGTTTGGTAGTTTTGTGACGTTTATCTTTACAATATTATTCAAACAGCCTTGGGAGGGTGCGCAAACTGCTATATACGCTGCGATGAGCTTAAGAGCTGGACAAGTCAGTGGGGAATATTTCAAAAATTGCCAACTGTGTAAAAACGTAAATGTTCCGTATGACGAAGATATTTTACAAAAATTTTGGGAGGAATCGCTTAAATGTGTTAAATTATGATTCGATGAATCAATAATTTAATGTAATTTATGATTTATTTTTTTATAGAGAGAAATAGAATAACAATGTGATATATAATTATTGTAACTTTTACAATTTTATGTTTATGTTATAAGTATTAGTGATCGACTTGCTCAATGATTAAATCTCAGTGTAGATATAAAATTCTTAATAAATTATTTAAATTGTTTTTATTTATCACCTCCATATATTAAAGTTTTATTACATGTATATTGCTACATAATGTATCTTCTATGATATTTAAGACAATAATAGCTATACTCGGATAGGATTACAATTATAACCTCTCGTTAGGTCAGAGGCCCGTGTCAACTTTTGTCCTTGTGGCGAATGTAACCGAGACAGTAAGAGAAGTCAACTTAGCAAATAGCCCTGATTTGTGCAAAGAATAGCAAACCACGCATATAAGTAGTTCACTTCTATTTAATATAGTATATTTATCTATACAAATAATAAATACTAACTAAAGATGTTCTGTGGTCAATGAGGATAATGGCAGGAAGACATCGCAGGAAGTTGTAAAGCAATCAACATGCATAGTCATTTTTACATGATTGATTGTTAGATTGATCAAAATAATAATAATTTAAGATTGTGTTCCATTGAAAAAAAAAAACTCGCTATATTCGTGGTAAAACCAGTTACTTTGATTTAAAAATTGTTTTTTACTACTGAATTGATTTTTATAAAATTTTTATGGGACCCATCTGTAAGTTTATCCTTTCAGATAAAAAATATTTTTTTCAAGACGGTATACAACTGACGGAAATATAAGTTAAAAAAAAATATACAACCGAAATAAGAACCTCCTTTTTTCTGAAGTAGGTTGAAAAGTTGGCTATTTCCTTCTCCATTCTATGGTACTATATGTACCTATACCAAATTATATGTTGTTCTGTTAAGGTACTGAGAGGTAACAAACAAACTCACATTTATGATATTTTATAGAGATTCTTAAATTATACCTAATTATTTTGTTTACAGCCTGCCAAGGTCGCACAGTCCTTACTGTTGTTCTGCCAAGGACAAGGACAGTTGACGTCACTACCGCCCCCGGGAATCGAACGGCGCATGTCCCGCGCTATGTCTATGGAGGAGTATGACAAACCGAACATAAGGCGGCTGTCTCTCACGCCTAGTGTGTCGGAGTCTCCTCCACCAAGGAAATTGTAGAACAGGTTCGCGTCCTGCTTACCTGAGTAAGTTTGCTATTATAGTTTTAGGAACTTATATGTTCTAGGGATGAACAATTTGCTAAAATGTCGATATTGGTATCGAAATTAAATACATTGTCGATATTATTTGATATATTATCGATAATCCGATATTGTCGTAAGATATTTTTCAATATTGTTTTTAATACTAAACAATTTGCATGTAATAAGTTTTACTAAATAGAAGGGGCAGAATGCTGGACCATCTTATACGACATGACGATTTTTTAAAAAAACATTGTAGAAGGAAAAATAGAGGGCAAAAGATGAAGGGATAAACCGAGGAATAACTACATGGAACAGATAAAAGAAACACTAAATGTCATATCGTATAAAGAGGTCAAGAATATGGCCTGGGATAGAACTGGCTGGAAGAAGATGCATGAGTTAGTTGCATCGACAAGAGGAAATTCTTAAATGAAAAGAGAGAAGCGTCGCTGATTACACATAAAAATGACAGCTTACTAATTATTATGTTACGATTAATATGCCCTGGTCTGGGCTATCGATATGTCAATATTTTTCTTAATATACCGATATTGTGGTATTTTCAATATATTGGTATCGATACCAAAATATTAATATGTTGATCCTTAATATCGATATTTCAATAAAAATCGTTCATCTCTATTATTGTCTATGTACACTTAGGAGGTATTATTCTTAACCTATGTACCAATGTACAGGATGGGTCCAGCCATGACATCATATCCTACTTAATGCTTCAATGGATACATCCTAATTTAAATCAGCTAAATTTATTTTACTGTTACTCGTGATTATTTATTAATGTTAATATAATTATTTTGATTTATACATATAACATTTTATTATTGTTATCCTATATAGATATATTTTGTACATAATTATAGTTTTCTTTTTTATATTTTTTTATTTATTTCATGCACAAGATTGCTCTGTAATATAACATAAAAAAAATACTGAAAAGGTGCAATAAAGTGTATGAGTCAAGGTCATGGTCACATAGCTTGATAATCATATATTAATAAGGAACATTACATTTCAAAATTTATTATTGATAAGAAAAAATATTATAAACCTTCCCATTTGTGTATGCATGTGAAAGAACAAGACACCGAACGTTGCTGTCTCTTTTTATCTTAAAAATAAAATTATTTATCTTGTACATGTGGTAACGATAACGTGCGCATCGAGAGATTCGTTTGCTATTTGTTTAAGTGGACATAATTATTTTGTAATGGAAAAATATAAAATATAAAAAATACAACATTAGTCAGAAGGTAGAATCATTTAGATAACTGCCTAAACCTTTTCTTCTCATTAAAACTTTCTTGAGTACACTTTACATTTTAAAGTAATAACAACCAGATTAACTTACGTGTATTTTAGTCGACAATACTCGACTAGTTTTGGGACCATCCGGACCCTTAATCATAAGCGGCCTTATATAGAAAATACACATAAGTCAATCCGGTTGTTCCTGTATCAATATACATAAAACCTAGTGAAATTGAAATGCATTAAAAACAATTACGGGCCCCTGTTTTTGGGGAGTTATTTAGTTTATTCAATTTCACATATATTTTTGTTGTTTAAAATTGTTATGACCTTTTTGGTTTTTGTCTTGTCGTTCAATAACTTACTATTTTATTCATAGAAACTAAAATGTACTACAAACCTATTTTAGCTATTGAACTGCTTTGTCTCTTTCTATTACTTTATATTCCCAATTTGAAAGGTTTATAATTGACGTTCTTATAATTAAAAGAGATAGTATATATTTTACCAGAGAGAAACATTGTACAAAAGTCGATTGCTTGGGTACCTCTGTCCCATTCGTGTTTCAACCGTGAAGCAGGTGTGTTTGCATGGCTGTGTTTCGGTTTGAAGGGTGGGATATGGGGTGAATTTACTGGGTACAGAGGAATAACACCTGAGTCCTCAGGAATGGCAACACATGGCGGGTATCATGGGCGAAACAATATACTCTGTTATGTCCGTGGTACTGCTCATGTCTTTAAGCGACGGTTACCACTTTACATCAGGTGGGCCGTCAGCTTACTTGCCATTCTAAGATGTATAAAAAAAATGTTATTATATTCCCCGAGTCATTCAAATAGGATTTATTAATATTGGGATATGTGATCATCATGGAAGTGTAACGTACGTCGTATGTATTTAATAAATATACATAGTGGTATAATCTATACTTATAATAAATCTGTAGAGAGGTCAGAAAAGAAATTGTAAGTAATATATTATATTATGTAATCAGATCGACTTTTGCACGGTCCATATACCATACAGCGGTTTACTGTCCACTGCTGAACATACGCCTTCCCCATAAGGGGGATTTTAACAATATTTGCCGTGGTTAGCGGGCGGGTATGCGGGCGGTTTTGGTGATATTTTAAGAGAGATGCTGCTATTCATCCCTCGAGCGTTAAGTTCCCCTAGTCGTCTCTTACGATACCCAAGTGAAAGGAAGGGATGGTCCATTCTATGCCGGGACCACACGGCTATGGAACGGTCCACGTATATATCGTAATATTTTTCAATGTTATTATTCTGACAAATAACAGATAAAAATATACGTGGATCTATCAGCTAAAGCCCCACTAATGAGTTATAAAATGTAGCAATATTTTGCTGGATTTGTATTGTCATAGTATTTTTTATGTAATCCTATACTTTTGCATGTAATTTTAATGTACCATATACATCTAGATGGAGCATGGGTGAAACATCAAAAATTCGAATGGACTAGAGAAATCACATCATATTAATTCATTTGTACCGTTTTGGTACGGAACCCTAAACATAGCCAACTATTGACTGATGCTTTATTTTTTCTTACTAAGTATTTAAATGGCCAATTATTTATCAAGGTACGCAAATGACCATTCATGTGATAGACATCTGTTCTAAATTTAAGTTAAACATAAAAAAATCTTGTTTTTCTGTTAACGGTTTTAATCGGACTCCATCTAGGTGTTATTCGTCTATGGATATCACGTAGAGTAGGTAATTTTAATGTGAAAGTAAATATTTACATAAGTAATTATTTACTTGTATATATTAAATTAGAAAATAAGAGTTTCCTCGAGAATCATATCCTAGTTACGGAGTACAAAATAAAATAACATATTGGCGGACGATGTGTTGACAATTTTGTTCCCTAATTTCATTAAATTATACATAATTTGTAGATAAGTATTAGACATATATTATGCCAATAATTATTGTTTATTGTAAAAGAAAAATATTTCTGATAAATTAAGTTACAAGTAGTAAATAAATAAATAAATAATATTTTGTAAAACAAATGTTTTTATAATTTTTTTACCATTATTTCTTATACCAACAAAAAACTATTTTAGTGACAATAGATATTTTGATCTGACTGCTAGTGAATCGATTTTGATAAACTTTTTACACGACCAATCTACGTAGATTTTTTTAAATAAGAATTTTGCAAATCGGTTTAGAACTGCTGGAGTTATGAGGTAATCCCACTCTGCTGCTAATAATAAAAGTCAAAAAATAGCTACGATTTTTTGCCACGATGCAGGATCAATTAACTGGGACTTTTTTTGCTGGGTGAAAATGGTATGGTAACCCCGCCTGCGCTAACGGGATACGCTGGCGGAGCACCAGTGAAGGGTGATAGATGAGAATGAAAACAGGCCAGATAGCCCATCATGATGAATTCATCAGGAATTCACCATGATAGTTTCCAGGGAGAACCGCGAGGAGGTCGACCAAGTTGGGTATATTGCTAGCAATGGGATTCTCAGTCTCCATTACTAACAATCCCTTTCCCCTCAATCCCAACTGGAGGGACTGTAGCTATAAAATGAAAATCAGTAATGTAAATAAGATAATTTAATAAACGCAAACAGACGGTACTTTACTTTTTCAGTGGTTTACAATTGACAACATATAGGACGGGCACAATTACTACACAATTACATTTACAGTGACACAGCGGTCTCGCCGTACGCCGCGCGACTCGCCACTAACTTAGCAAAGTAAGATAAAATGACATCAAAAAAACGTGTTTAAAAGAGCAATACAATAGAAAAATGTTTCTCCGTTCAGTGTTTGCTAAAAAAATTTTGAAAAGAAAAAAAAATGCGAAAAGAAAGAACAACCGCAAGTCCACAGGACGGAGAAACCAGACGGAGCGGTAGCTCTCTCGGACGCCACATGAGAGAGCGGATACAGCAACTCGAGCATCAGCCAGCCTCCGCGGACATTTTCGAACCTTTATAAATTTTCACAGTCCTGCTATAATAAACATTATAAAAATATGCGGTCGCGGTTTTGTAGCGTCCGCTTCGGCGGCGACGCTGCGCAGGCGCACCTTGCACAACGCACACGGGCTACGACGATGCACATTATCACTGGCCTGGGATCTATGCATATAGATGCACTTTGAATTAAGTTATTTGTAAAAAACTATGTAACAGCAATATAAAATTACTCAAGCTTGAGGTATATATTTGCAACTAAGCAGTTTCATCAAATTCGACTTTCTTTCATTTTGTTGAATTTGGCATGATCAAACAGTTGCATCAAATATTCTTGAATTGGCTATCCTTCTGTATTTTTGCTGTGATCTAAATAGTCGCAACTGTTTATCCACAATTTTTCACGAATTGTCCAATCTCCATTTTGTCCTGCATTGCTATACTGTGGCAGTGGATACGAGCATACGGCGAGGGCCCGTGCCCTCGCCGAGTCGTCGTCAGAGCTCGTCGCAGCCGGGCTGCATGTCCGATGTCTCCATGGCCACTTCATCGTAGTCCTGCTCCAGAGCCGCGAGGTCCTCTCGGGCTTCTGAAAACTCACCCTCTTCCATACCCTCGCCGACATACCTGAACAGGTTAAAAAATTATATTCGCAAATAATGGAAAGTAATGATAAAATAAATTATAATAATGAGCAATTTATAAGAGTTATGCCGACAAATCATTCGACTACTACCGTCATCAAAATTATTCTAAAGTAACAAATTTTTGGAGATTTCAAAATAAAATTGAAGACCCGAATGAAAACTATACCCTTTATAGGAAGGTCGAAAGATCAAATCAAGACCGTTTCAAATTTTAGTTACGGTGCTACAAATTTTCCAAAAAAGAAATATATTTTACCAGTGTACAAACGCCCGTTTCGAGTACATGAGATCGAACTTGTGGTCGAGTTTTCCCCAGGCCTCTGCGATGGCGGTCGTGTTGCTGAGCATGGACGCAGCGCGCTTCACTTGCGCCAAGTCCCCGCCCGCCACCACGGATGGCGGCTGGTAGTTTATACCAACCTGGTGGAAAATAGGACCAGTTATAAAACAAAAGTCACAGAACCGAAAATACAATTTCGGATTTATCCACGTTCATTTTCAAATTCTCTTTTTTATGTATACATATAGATAGTTTGCTAGCAAACATGTCAATAGTTCATATTGAAGTGGCATCTATCACCTCTATATAAATATAGTAATAATAGTAAATGGGGCAGAAGAACATGGATATCATAAAATACACTCATGAGAACTAGTGTCTTCTTGTACCTATTAGATACTGCATTATCTTGCGAAAAGATATTTTAGGATAGCTGATTTTAGGAACCTACATCTTATTTTAGAATCTAACCTATATTTAGAGTCTGACCGTGTAGTTCCAGCATAGAATATGCTACCACTTTCTTTCCCGTGGCTGCCGTAATAGTCTATTAAGGGACAGCGAGGGATGGGCAGAGGCGTCCCTCTTAAAACATCTTTAAAACCTAACTGAAGCTGCTAATCCGCCAGCCAAGCGCAGCAACTACCCGCAAGGGGAAGGTTTATGTTCAGCAATGGACGATGAAAGGCTGATATGATTCAGAATCTAACCTAATTTATAACTTGGCTAAGATTGACAGGTAAGGCGTTCTTACCTATCGATCTTATCAACTCTTATTCCGTACAGCTTAGTTTATTTTAGAATAAAACAAAATAAATACATCTAACCTTGAACCCTGTTGGACACCAATCCACGAATCGTATCCCTGCCCTCCCCTTCATGGCTGCTATGGCCGCGTTCACGTCTTTCGGCACTACGTCTCCTCTGTACAGCAGGCAACACGCCATGTACTTCCCGTCGCGAGGATCGCACTTCACCATTTGATTCTGTGGCTCGAACAATTCCGCTGTGATCTCTGATACTGACATTCCTTCGTGGTATGCCTGGAGGTAAATTACCCAATTTTATTTTCGCTGCCAACCAAAACTGAACACCGCAGCCTACAAATGCTAATAACACCAGAAGCATTACTTCATGTTTGATCCTTGTGATATAAACATGTGAAACCCTTGCTTATTCTATAATATATGCAAAAAAGCTTAGGCTATTTTGCAAAAAACTACCTACATTCTAGCAAAATAAATTCATTTCATTTCATTTCAAAAAAAAAAAAATAATTAGAAAGGTATACCTACCGACTCCTCTTAAATATATAGTGACATCAAACTGGATAAGGCTTCATGCTTAGAGTTTTGACAAGGAATGAAGAGGACACTGAAAATGAAATGCTTACCTTATCAGCGGATACTACAGGTGCGTACGCGGCGAGTGGAAAGTGTATGCGCGGGTAGGGCACAAGATTTGTCTGAAACTCTGTGAGGTCCACATTTAGTGCGCCGTCGAACCGCAGCGATGCTGTGATTGATGACACCACCTGAACAACCACCAGACAAATACAGTTTCAAATAAAACAATTTATTATTATTATTTTTTTTTTTTATGGGTGAAAATGGTATGGTAACCCCGCCTGCGCTAACGGGATACGCTGGCGGAGCACCAATTTAAGGGTGATAGATGAGAATGAAAACAGGCCAGTTAGCCCATCATGATGAATTCATCAGGAATTAACCATGATAGTTTCCAGGGGGAACCGCGAGGAGGTCGACCTGGTTGGGTATATTGCTAGCAATGGGATTCTCAGTCTCCATTACTAACAATTCCTTTCCCCCCAATTTATTATTTATTAAAGATTCATTTGCTAAATATTTTTTACAACGTTTCACTTTTGAGGGTGACGTTCTATCTCCTGGTAATAATTTAAATCAAATTATTGGCAATACATGGATATACATTCCATTAAAACCGATTTAACTCTGAAGACTAAAAGGCTGTACAGAGTTACTCTTTTTTTATAATCGCATATAGATTGCAAGTTCCAATTCTGGGATCTATCTACATGCGTAATCAGTAGATTCTTTATAAATTAAGATATATCCAATGCAGACGACCGAGTCAAAAACAGTTTAGTGGCGTTTTCTAACTTTTAGATGCTCTAAATGTATATATATTCTTTATTGCACTTGTAAATTACAATTTATGCAAATTTGTGAAGATATATCTCTTCCAATGCAGTTAGAAAACATGACCGAAGTCAAAATTAATATTTAGTATACATAAACAAATATACAGTTTAAAATAGTGGCGTTTGATTTCAAAGTCAGTTCAATTATAAAAATAAATAAATTATGACTAGGTAATTGAAGGGCTCTCTTGTATGTGGGAGTTTGTTCCATAATTGGGCAGATACGAGAAAGAGTTGCCCATAAAATGCGTTCTACACAAAGGTAGGTTGAGAATCCTGGACTGAACTTGACAGGAGCGTTTAGGACGGATTGCGAGAGCGGAGGTCTTATTAAGTATGTTATAAAGGAAAGAATGTATTCATATTTACGAAGCAATTCAACATCCAAAAACAGACTTGATTTTTAGTATTTACTGGGAGAAAGTGTACGAGGTTTGTCCGGAAAGTATATCTAAAATAACTCAATAAATTTGTACTTGTGATATGAGCCTGTTGAGGTCTGGTTAAACATACGAGTGGGTCATCTTGAACTCTCGATAGACACGCCGCCGCCGGCTTGCCGAGTTTCGAGAGAAACTTGATTACGACGCGCTGCTCTTCAACGGAAGCGGGCTCCATGCCGACGGGGTTTCGTTAAGAGGTAACTTCACAGATGGCGTGACAAGCCAGTTCGCACCGCACGGCGGTCAGACCAGAACTGAAGCATTGTTAGGGACATAAGGAAGGGGTCCTGCGCTTACCTGGCCTCCCCACTCCTCTTTCTCGCATTCCAGAACACTTCTACGAGCTCATTTATATGACATGTCGATAGAGTGCCGTCCATTATGAGACCAAGGTTCTTAACCTTCTCGCTATATGCCACTGGAACTCCATCGTAGTAAAGTGGCGGTATCCCGGTCCAATTCAACCTGCATCGCATCCTGTCTGCCAATAATGATAGCGCGCAGTCCGAGTATTGCAGATA